CCATAAATAAGGAATATCCAATTGGGAACAAAGAAACAATAAAAGAAATATGAATGAATGGGGAAAATATGACAACGGATCTGTGTGTCACGACCCGGCGTTCCCCGGGGCCAGACGACCTCCTCCCTGACCTTCTCCCACGCCCGAACACTCCCCACACACTCCGCTCGCCGCCCGTCGCCGTCTAACCACTTCCCGCCACCTCTCCACAACCCCTCTCCTAATTGTCGTTGAACGGCCTAGCGGTGCAGAGCGCCACGACCTGTTGTCCCATGTTTCTCCGCACCTTGTTACCTCGCGGCGAAGGTCACGCTTGACCTTCGCTGTCTTGAACACGTGCCCTTTGTTGTTTGTTTTCCTCCTTCTTTTCTCTGCCCGCAATCTCCGCGAGATCTGGCGACTTATTCCCCATTCAGTTCCCTAGCGCTTATATACAGCTTGTAACTAATGCTTGTACTGTAGTTCGAAATCAACTAGAATTACCCCCTAAAGCTTACCTCTGTCCCCGTGAGACCTCCAACCTTCTGAAGTATCGGGACCGTGTCGAGAACGAGGCGCAACGCTCCTCCTAGCGTCGTTGAAGCCGAAATCCCGGCTCACTCGCCTAAGTAGCCTTGGCCTCGAGATCGGTGGGGTTTATCCCTCGCTAAAGCTCGGTCGGGTGTAGGATGCCTTTACCACTAGTGGGCAATGCTCGGTCGCCTACGGCTACCCTCGGCGAACCTTCGCACGGTTCTGACACTGTGAGGTCTTAGGGTGGCTCAGCACACAAGGCCGTTGCAAGAGGGCTAGCGGCTCTCTATGCCGACTAAGCTCGTGGGGCCAAACTCTCCTAAACTCTCTACTTTCTCTCTAAACTTCGCTTGACTCTCGATCCTTAAACTCCGTGTGGGTTCTCCGGGATTCCGCAAGGTCCGGGCTCAACTAATCTACTACCCACTCGTTGTGGGCTAGACAGTTGCCCTTATTCCTACTGTTGGATTCCACACACTCACACCCTCTCTAGCACGTCCTAGCACCTTAGAGAAAATTGGGGGAGGGGAGAACTTCTATTCCAAAATCCGGTATGTACAGGATATAAGGAACAATTATTTTTAGAATAATTGATGAGAAATATTGGTACCATATGGCACCTGCATACCTTATTAGGCAAAGTAATAAAAAAGGGTAACAGTAACAATAAAAGAATATCAATCAATATCTGAAATGATGGCAAAATATGAAAATAAGAGAAAATAAGCGATATCTCAATGGATTTACGGAATTAAGAGCCTAAATTGGAAATGTAGCCGGAGATAACTCTCACACAGCCAATGAGCATTTTTACCAATTTATTAGACGCCGTGGGAACGAGTGAGGCTGGAATTCTGGGTTGCCGCTTGAGATTCCCACGCCCGCACATGCTCGTGACCTTCCGTGCCTAACCTGTTCAATATAGAACTCCGTCAAATCTCCACCGATTAGGACGTTCTTGGTATCGTCAGAATCGTACGAATTAGGACTATTTTTGGATACCAAATTTGTACCGAGTCGTCGCGTGAATGAAAGTGGTTTCTGAATGTTGGAAGCGGGTATCCGAGCCGGCTCTGCGCGTGGGCGATTATCCTGCCTACACCGTAAGTGATGCAAGATAGTGTATTTTACGGTGGTGTGTAAGCAGTTACCCGGAGGTTCCCGCTTGCCCATGTGACTATATGTATCTAATTTACATGTGACTCGGGGTTCGGGGCTATTGCCCTGACATTCTCCCCCCTTGCGTTGCATTTGCGACGCATACAAAGTTGATAGTGAATAAAACAGAGTTTTAATAGTTGATTTACATTGAGTTTGGAATTATCAATGAGTGTTTTGTTGTCACCACTTTAAAGTGGGCAATTTTGTACATGTCGGTGAAGAAAAGGGAGGGGGTTTAAGGAATGAATGAGTGTGGGCCGTTACTTTGAAGTGAACGGCGATACATTGGTATCGCAGGGAGAGAAGAGAAAAAATGGTGGAGTTTGTCGAAAATGAATTTCGACCCAAAGGTTGTATGTCTTTGGTGTTCCTCACTTGTTCTGTGAGGGTTCATGTGTAAGTGGTGTTTACACACGAGCGGTGGTGGATGTGGGTCTTTTGACGGAGTGGAGATTTCCGCAATTGTTACTTGCAGTTCCTCACATACAGTATTGTGTGCGGGGCCTCGAGTTGGGGGAAGGTGTTTTCACAGGTGCCTTGATGGCATATTACCGTGTCACTTTCCCTTCTCTCAAGGGTGGATTCATTGCCCCGGAGGAGGGTTTTCCTCCGGGTTGTTCATCTGGACATCCGATTGCTGCGTTGGATGCGATGACATAGCCTGGGCTACATTGTCGGGCTGTGGGCTCGACGAAGTGGGTGCTCCCTGGGTGGGAGCGGGTTGTTGTATTCCTGAGCTGCTTGGCTCAGGTGTAGAGTATGGTAGGTCTACCGTTCTTCCCGTGGGGAAGGATGGTCGTTGGGCTGGTTGTCCAGCACGGAGACTTGCATCTCTTTCCCGGTATTTGGAAGCTTTCGCTTCCCATTCCGCAGTTCTTGCGGCACGTTCCTCAGGACTCCTGAGTGGTTTGAACTGGGACTTTAAGTAGGCAGCTTTGCCTAGACTTTCCCAGGAGATTTTTCCCTTATTCTCTGGGGAATTATATTCCTCTGCGAGTCTTGCGATACTCGGGAGTCCCAAGAAGTATTTCTCGGTTTCCTTTGCTTTTTCGCGAAGGGTTCTGTGTACCTTGCCGCTTTTGAAGGCGGCTTCAGCCTGTTCGTACCAGAGTACAAATTCTTTCCCACTCACGCTGTTGTGGGGACAAGTCCGTGCAGGTCAAACCAACCCTTATCACACATTTCACCCCCTACTGCATCAGGGACTAGGATTGGTGAGTTGTGGTAATAGTAGGAGTTGTAGAGACTGTGGAGATGGTTCTGACGAGTCCAAGATCGTCGGATTTGGTGGAGTGGTTGAGGAGATATGACTTTTTCTTTATTTTCCTTACTATTTTCATTCATTCATGCATGTGACTTTCCTTTTATATTTGTATCGGACTCTTCCATGACAACTGTACAGACAGTTAGTTAGAGGTTAGAGACAGAGTATCAGCACCGTACTCGCAGGACCATCTACCCTAGAGATAGAGAGAGAGACCTACCCCCCCTAGACCTGAGCCTCGAGTCTAGATTGATAGACCCCATTACAAATCTGGTGGTCCTTACAGGGGGGGTACACTTCTCTTCATCACAATCACGCAAGTTCACGCTTTTCGTTTGTTTGGAAATTGATCATTTTGCCGTGGATATCGAGTATCTACACTGGTTACAGACACAGGTCAAGAACAGTACAAGTTTTTAGGGATCCACACGGGACCACCCAAGCTACCACTACACGCACGCACGCATGCACGCACGCACGCAGAATTGCCCGAGTTTTTGTTTTCCTGGCGGACCTCAAGACGAGGCACAGGATATTGAAGTTTATTACCCAAGTTGTCCCTCCTGGAGGATCTCAAGAAGAGGCACAGGAGTCCATGTTTGGGATCTACGAGTTACGGATCTGCACGGTTACACAAGTTTACCCAAGTTATCACAATCATTGCCTCCTGGCGGACCTCAAGACGAGGCACAGGAGTTCCCTTTTCACTGCTCAAGTCGTCCCCGTGCTGTTTCACCCAAAAGTTGTACCAAGTTGCCCTCGTTTTACCCAGCGAGATACTCGTTTACCCCCGTTGCTTCGATTGCCGGACATCCAAGAGCCGTTTCCGCGTGTTTTGTTAACCTTTCAAGATGGCTGCAAGTTTTGCTGTTGCAGCGCCGATGTTCTACATTCCAATGCCTAGCCCATGGTCTAGAGATGCCCCAAGGTTCAATGGCACCAAGTTGAAGAAGTTTTTATACGAGTTCGAGCTCCAGACAGCAGCCGCGCGCCTCGCAAATCAATTGAAATGCGATTATGTTGTGTCCTACTCCACAGAAAAGGAAGCCACCTTTATCCGGACCCTTGATAGCTACGAGAACAAGGACTGGAACGCGCTAAAGAGCAACCTGCTCAGTTTTTACTCAGATGAGCAAGAAGACCGCATGTATCGCACAAGAGATCTCTGAAGATTTGTTGAAAAGAGGCGGAAGATCAAGTGCTATGAAGATTTTGATGACTACCACCGGTGTTTCCAAGTTATTGCCAGACCCCTTGAGCAGAGGAATGCACTCAATGCAGGCGATAAAGACGACTACTTTTACTGTGGACTCAAGCCAACCCAGTTCCGCAGACGAGTTAAGCAAGAACTCAAGGCCCGCAACCGGTGGATCGATTTGACCCGTGCTCCTCCCATGGACTACGTTGTTGTGACAGCTAAGGAGCTCTTACAATGTGATTTGTACCGCGTCGACGAGTCCGATGACAATTCAAACTCAACAAGCAGATGTTCCGCTGAAGATTCTGATGATGGCAGCGACAACACAGTTAGCGAGGATTCCGGTGATGAGGGATCCGACTCAGAAGTAGAGGCTGTGTCCTCATCGCGTCGCAGAATAGCTAAGGCAGTCAGGAGGAAGATGCTGAAGAGATCCAAGTCCAGAGCCGCTGACGCCAGTGAAGATGCCGAGGTCATTGAGACCAAGACAGATGTCGCGGGCCCCCAGGACACAGTTCCCGAAGCCAAGATAGACGATCTCGCAGAGCGTGCAAACACATTGACAGTCAAATTAGCGTGCCTTACAGATAGGCCTCGATTTACCCGGTCTACTGATGACCGATGCTCCATGTGCGATGGCATAGGCCATTTTGTTCAAGACTGCCCTGAGGCAAATGCTTTTATTGCCACTGGTGTACTCAGATACGACGCGTTTAATAAACTGGTCATGGCTGATGGGTCTGATCTTCCACGTGCCCCCAATGGAGGGGGAAAGGTTCACGAGACTAATATGCGCTCCAGCGCGGCAATACTTGAGTGGGCATGCGACTATGAACACACTGACCAACACCGGATTCCATTGAGCAAGACATCTAGTTATGATGATTTACAATATGTTTCTCATTTGGAATCATGTATGGATGATGCGCTAACACTACCCGACGCCGAGCCAACCACCCACGAAACAGTCCTCCATGATGTCCCCGACTCAGACTCGCGCTCCAATGAAGATGACTTTCGTGAGATAGCCTATGACACCTCCGACCTGCATCCCAATGATGAGGATTTTGGTGGGACAGTTTATGACGTCTTTGATCTGGACTCGTATCTTGATGATGACAAGAGCCTTTGTGAAGCCGAGCCCGTTGCCATGTCCGAAGATCCCATTGAACCAGAGCGCAATCATAAAGAGCTAGGGCCTCACGGCCTCGAATCGACCGACCTCGTTTGCCCAAATGAAGTCGAGGAGCCCCAGCCGATCGGGTCCTATCATGAGTTTCGCCCGGCTAACTACAGCAAACCTTGCCGCACGAGATCACGCAACAAGGCGTTTGTTCCCAAGCCGTTGCTGCTGGTTGAACGGATTATTCCAGCCAGGGCAACTAGAGTACTGCCGAGGATGTCGCTTGATCAAGATAATGCGAAGTTACCCCCACGTGCGCTGATCCTCACACCCGAGACATGTAGAGTCAACCGGGCGAGGCTCAGTGATAGCGGAAGTCCTGTTCCACAGAGCGCCCCACGTCACTCAGAACCAGCCGTAGCAGTCGGCCATGTCAAATGCCTAGTTGAGATACGCCACGAGCATCAGGCTGAAGCCCCATCCAGAGCTGAGTCCGAGTTGCCTAACGATTTGGGATTGTTCATCGATGAAGACTGTAACGACGCCGAGACCACTGTTGAGCTTAGGAACACCAAGTCATCGAGTCCAGAGGTGACTCGCGGAGTGTTGTGGTGTTCAAGTGACCCACACGAGTTGTACAACGCTAGCCAAGATGTTGAAGCGCCCGGCAATGCTAAGACGCTGCATGCGGAGCCTGAGCTAGACGAAGGCTATATTCCCTCACCCGAGAAAGATCCGGATAAGACGTGAGAGACGCAGCACGGTCTGGGCAGCCAGTCGGCCCAACTTGTGCGTGAGCCTGGACAAACCAGAGGCCCAGCACACCCAGTCTCCGAGTTTCCTGGTGATACTCGCAAACTCGCGATGCCGGAGGGCATCTTTTTCTGAGCATAGACCCGCCCTCGCCTTAGTTTAAGCCGACGTTTAATCAATTTCCAACACTCCTTCGAGTTCTTACATGTGTTCTTATGATTTCCGAGGAGTCCAACTTTTGCGCTTATTTCTTGCATGCGAAACTACATCGTCATTTGTGTCTGAGCTTGATTCTACATCGCGTATCGAAAATTACACGCCGAGTACAGGAGTTTACAAGTTTATCTGAGTCGGATGCGTCGTTATTCCTCGATATCGCGACATCCGAACCCCTTCCCCTAGCCAGACGACCTTTTCTCAAGTTTTACATGTCCAATCCACATTCTTTTCGCTTTCTATTCGATTTTCCCGAGTTTTCGCGCTGGAGACGTCGATGAAGCCCCCCAAGTACAGAATAAGCAATCATTTCCCTCTTCCATTCGAGGGGGATGTAGTTTAGGAACCTGGCGTTGAAGGACGCCTGGTCTGGCAGCGTCACCATCTGGGACGCTGCTTTTGACAGTTCTAAGTAGAACTGTTTTAGGCCTTTTTCCGCTTCGTATTTGACATTGCGGTATTTCTTTGTCGCGTTCAACGCGGCGGAGGCTTTGATGAAGGTTCTCATCAATATGTTGAGAACTTCGAGGAACATGCCCTCATCTCCTCTGAGGAGAGTTTCGTCTCGGAGTCTAATTCCGAGGTCAAATGCGGGCCCCCCTAATCCACGAATCAAGCAGTCCAGGTGGACTTCGTCAAATTGGGGACCTTTGCATCCTTGCGAGGCGAGGAATCCCAGTAGTTCTGTGAACCACTGCCAGAACGATTCCATGTCGTTCTCCCCTGACCATTTCTTGTCAGGGAATGCCGGCCCATTCTTTAGGGCTTCTGGTTTCACTCCTTCTGGGTAGGGAGTGAGTATTCTCACTTCGGCCATTCTTATGGCCTTTTCGTACCATTTCTCCAGGTACTCTTCTTGCTCCCCTGCCTTCGCGGGGTCGCTATCCAATGGAGATCTCTCCTTTGGGGGGGTTTTTGCTGGGGGAAATCTTCCTCACAGTGTTTCTTTGGTTTCAGGCGAATTCACCTGAAGTTGTATTTGTATTCTCTCATTGTTTTGAGAGGGTGTGAATGAGTTACCTCTCTGTTCGAGAGGTCTGTCATAAGTGGACGTTTGGCCGAACCTTTGGTATGTGCCAATTCTCCTCCTAGTCTCTGAACGATGCCTTCTTTCGGCATCGTCTTCTCCTATCCTTGGGAGAAGGATCTCCTTAGCATCTCTGTCAAGTCGCTGATGATATTCCAGTGTGCTTTCACTGGTGGTTCTTTTCGTGAATTTTTCACGAGTTCTATTTATGTCCTGGACCGTGGTCCAGGGGTGTTTATTTGTTTCCTCACTTTTTTGTGAGAAATTTATTTCCTTCAGCAAATCTGTTTGTTCGCTGATTTTTTCAGTCAACGCATCGATTGCGTTGGCCATTCTTTCTAGAGTTATCTCTAGACGAGCCGTGCTATTATGGTTCGTTTCCTCGATCTTTTTTTGGATCAAGTTTATCGCATTTATTATGCGCGATTCCTGGTTTTCCAGGAGGAAGTTTGGTTGGGCGAGCAGAGACTCTCCCCAGTTGACATTTCCGCTTCTGGGAGTTCCAGAATGGGTTCTTGGAGTGAACACTCCACGCTCGCTTTGTTTAGGCGAGGCCATTGTGGAGGGTGCTTCCCTTTCATAGAGGGGTTTGTTCGCTGGTTTTTCCTTACTTTTACGTAAGGCTTCCTCAGTGAACTCCCTCATTTCAGTTCGCCTCCTCTTCATTATCTCGGAGACCTCCTCCGAGGTTGGCAACCTTGCCTTGTCTGGCATGGTGTGTGGGAGTGTAAACAGCGGAAGTTCTTTTGGAGCTTCCGTGCTCTGGGAGATCCTGCTCTCAGGGCGTATTTTCGCGCCTTCTCAGGCTTTCAGCCTGAGAAGAAGTTGATCTTCACTTTCCGTCCTCCATTCAGACGGAACCTGGAACAAGTCCAGTAGTTTTTCGGATAGCCGACGCGGGGGCTCTTCCCTTTGTTTCCCTTTGTCTGCCTTTGGGGCTTGACTTGGGGACGTGAGGGGGGGCTCCAGGGGATAGTGGGGCCCTGGAGTTTCCTGCGACTCTATCCGATCAGCTTTTTGGGCTGATCGTTCGGTGCTTACGCGTTTTTTGCGCAAGTCGATCACCTCGTGAGGAGGTGAGAGATCTTCCCCAGCTTGGGTTAGATCAGTATGTTGTGGAGTTCTGGGGGTATTTTGCCCCGCACTTACTCCACGTAAGTTTCTAAAACCTTCAGGGACCAGCCCTGAGGTGGTTGCTAATGCCGGATCATGTTGATCCTCGTCGTCGTCTGATGACGGCTTTTGGTTTGAATCTCCCATGATGGGAGATTGCGGTTTCTTTATAAACCGCTCGTTTCTTTTTAGTGTCACTGCAGATGTGACCTTGCCCTTGTGGGCGTGTTTAGGCGCCATAGGCGCTTCCGAGTCAGATGTTAAGATTTTAGAGTTGTGGGTTGTGTTGTAAAACACACCTCTTGCACTTAAAAAAGTGTGAGGTCTTAGGGTGGCTCAGCACACAAGGCCGTAAGTGATACAAGATAGTGTATTTTACGGTGGTGTGTAAGCAGTTACCTGGAGGTTCCCGCTTGCCCACGTGACTATATGTATCTAATTTACATGTGACTCGGGGTTCGGGGCTATTGCCCTGACAGGATCCAAAATGGGAATTGTGAAAGTTAACTCTGCAACACTTCGCTGCAGCGCCTGCCTATCCTCCCATCAGCAACCTCCTCGTCTCCAGCTTTCCAACGAACCCTTATTCATCCCAATTGGTGCAGTAGTTCTTGAGATGTGGCCATTGACAGGTGCTGTCAAGACCACATGAGACTCTACTCCATGCTGAACCATCCGAGTATGGGGTTTCCATTCTGGGAAATGCTCCATGGGTGAAGAAGGAAGGTAGAGCATCACTAACGGGTAGAAAAACGGCTGGGTTGTATGTGTGGGTATGGAGGTCTGGAGAGGGGGTGAAATTGGCAGCATGGTTGGGTGTGGGAATTTTGCTTGGGGTTGTTGGGAATGATGGGGAAAATATGGAAAAATAAGGAGTGAGTGTATGGAGTGTTGGATAATGATAGAATGAGCATCGGGAGCATCAGCGGATATGCAGTGCATGTTGGTGGGCAAATTCTGCAGAATCTGATTTTTTACCATGTGTTAGACACTGGTCCAGGGTCGGCACTGAGGGTCACTGTTGTGGGCCGCTATAGGCTGTGATGGCCGGGATGTCACGAACAAGGCCCAAGGGTAGGGCATTTGGCCTCAGCGACTCTAAAGGAGCGCTGTGCCCCCTAGCTGTCTCTTGGCCCTCATTTCAGACTTACTGGGGTTGCCTTGTTGGGGTCAGGACTTGAGAGGTCATGGTCAAATCAATATTAGAGCTAAGGTACAATAAAGTAACATACAGGATATATATAGGGAGAAAGAATGAATGGAAGCAGACCCAGGCCGAAGGCTGAAGGGTCCGGAAGCAAAAGGGAACAAAGAGCGGGGTTGGCTGCACAGCGACCAGCAATGACCGAGGGTCAAAACAAACAATAACAGATAAATAAAGGAAGGAGCATAGGGCCGTGATAGCGGTGATGGTATTGTAGCAGCGCCGGACTCGGAGTTGGGCTGGAGTTGGGCACAGGAATGGTAGTGGCCCTGTAGGGGCCAAGTGGGCAGGGTAGAGGAGTCATGCTGGGCGTGGTGCCGGAGGCAGACTCAGGGCAGGGAGGTTGGTGTGGCTGTGGGGGAGTCAGCCAAGTGTAGGGGAGCCTAGGGGAAAGCAGAGGAGTGAGCAGGGAGTCCTCAGGGAGGATAGGGCTGAGGTCGGGGCTCGCACTCATGCTTGCATAGCGGGAATGGGCTCAGGCAGCATCGGGACGGGCAGCTAATGGGCCGGAATGCATGGCTGTGACACCATGCATGGACTTGTCCCTGCAACAATGCATGGTAGTGTTTTGGTCACTGTGAGTTGGCAGAAATAATCAGACTGGGGTGAAATGAAGGAGAAACCAGTGCATTCCTGAAAGGCATACTCAAGACATGGAAATGAGAAGCGCTGCATCTTTGGTGCTCTTCAACAATTCTGTTGGCCTGATCGAATGCGAACTTATCACTGTCAATATTCAGGTTTCCCAGAGTTCCAAGATGCAATGTAGCACTCACCTTGGTGCAGGGTGTGGGGCACACAATGAGATACACAGGTGATGGCTGAACTTGAAAGTGTGTAACCTCATTGGGGAGGTGCTAATCAATGTGTGGTAGTGCAGGCACCTGTCATATCCATCCATGGCCATCACCCTCAACCACTTCCGCTCCTCTGGATTACCTCCACTCCTCCGCCACTAACATCAGAGCCCCCAGTTTCTGCAATCACCTCCAACCCCCCCCGATGGTCACCACCTCTCCAATTCAATATATTACCTACACCTCCCTAAGTATGGAGCCCCAAAGCTCTCCGGACAGCCCCAACGTCTGCTAGCACATTCCTGCCTCCACTGGGCAATTCACTTGCTTGCCCTGCAAGTCTACCTTCAGGCCTATCCCTCCTTTCCGCTTGTGGGTCATAACCTGTCATTCCATTAAACCTGCAACCTGACTCGTCAGTAATATTCAGTCAGCTAACATCTATCCCCATTAGCTCTGCTCTGCTCGGTCCTGCTATTCACGGGCCCACCCTCGCTGTAACTATATATACTTAACTTGTACATAGGTTACACTTCAGTGATAAAATCGACTAGAGTTGATCCCCCTTTAGTTCTCATTGCCAGTAAGTAAATTAGGGCACAGACGTGTAACTTGGCACAGCCCTCCTGGTCTGAGTCACTGAGGCTGAAGCCCCATGGAGACATCTCCTTCGTCTCGATCCGGTCTCTAACAGCACCCATGACCTTGAGGTTCTTCAAAGAAGTGAATCATCTTCAGGTGGGGGGACCAAGTGTTCTCTGAATGGCCTTTAAAGTAAGAATGGAACCCAGGTTAATGGCCATTGAGCATCAATGGAAGGTTATACCAGCACTGTGAACAAGGGGGTCATCTGCCAGGAACCGGGTATGAACGAGAGAACCTATAACTTGACCAGGGACGGGCAGACTCAGGGGTACTACTCATCAATCTCCTCAACATATTGAAGCTACCATTCCATCTAATGGGCAGGTAATGCTAATATTGCGAGAAGAGTGCATATGAGTTGAAGCCAGCAGCGAATGACAATTCATAAGTATGCTAAGTAAATACTTGCCCAGAAACCATCACAGCCACAACCATGGGAACTTTCTGGGTGTCAGGGGACGCACGTGCTCGCGCAAGATGCTCCGATAACTTAGTTGTGATTAAAGCCAGGGGAAAGGGATGTCCCCATCTTAGGGTCAGCTATATACATGTAGAGTCCGGCAATAAGGAAACCAAACAGATTGCCGATAGAATCATGTGATCATAGAATGTTCCAGAACAATGCTGGAGATGATCCGGGTCACCGGGGCTTAGGTAAGCGGAGTAGACGGGAATTACCAGCATACTTCCCACACACATACACTGTAGGAATATAAAAGTTACAACACTAAAACAACCAGAAACCATCACAGAAAATTGGATAAAAATCATACAACCTCCACGGACCAGAAATAAAAATAGGAATAAAATCATAACTCAACAAAATGAATTGAAATAAAATATCGGAAAAATACTGAAGAACAGAGTCGATGAATTGAGTATCTACGCGAACTTTCAAGTCTAGGGATTAAAAGGTGGTCCAGAAAATGAAGAAAAACAGCAAATAAACCCACATGAAAATAAAAACAAGGTTTCCTGTATCAAATAAAATATTAGAAATTCGTGGTAATGTGGGAAAATAGTTTTATGAACGTACGAAACGAATGACAAAGAGAAATTGGAAGAAAATCGAGGAATTCACATAATGAAAAATGGTCGGGTACGAGGAAAAGATGAAAGAATTGGGAATATCTATACGAGAAAAATAGGGAAAAATATAAATCCTTCTCTGTCTTAAGGAGTTGAAGTATAGGTCTGTGTACGAAAAGATTTAACAAGATTAAAACACACTTGCAGAGAAGACTGGCTCAAACATCCTGAGTTTGTGGTAGAAATGGATGAGCTAGAAATGCGAAACTAAAGAGTTCGAGTCCAGGAACAAGGCATAATTTATCCAGAATTAATCGTAAGAAAATGGATGAGCTAATGCCAAAGCAATCTGGAGAACCTCAAAATTAAATCTTGAAAAATTCATATCTTCATAAATAATCCTCGTAGTTTACTGTTGTTTATACCAACGGAAAGCTACACTCTTAAGCTAACAAATAACCCCATGACATGTGACTTAGAATAAAGTGAGTAAACAAGGGTAAACAAGGTCATGATGGGTGTTAGACAGTGCAATCGATTGATTCCCACACCAAAACTTCCAGAAAGTTCTAGAAGCAGAATGGGATGCTCATCACTTACATAAGAGGATTACTAAGCTCAATATAAGATTACTCAGCAATGTAAATAGTAAAGTGACATGTGAAAACAGAGCCCTTAGGAAAGGTATAAAAGACCGCATTTTCTGGTCTGACCCCTCTTCCTTCTTTACTCCTCTCCCCTACATGCTCTGGCTCATAGGTCATAAGGTGTCCTAATAAAAATTAAGTTTTATTAGTACAAGTGTGCAGTTCAGATCACATCTGAGTAAAAGTGATCAACCCTCAGTAAAAAGTTAAGAAGAAGTTAAGAAATAGTGATGTTGAGTCAAGTCGGTTGGAGTCGCTCCGAGTTAAAAGTGACAAGACAGAGGTGAAACGACTAAAAATAGTAGGTCTATAGCGTGATTTTCGTGTGGAACAATCAGGTAGACAAGTGAATTGAACCCTGAGAGTTACATACACATACAAACAATTAGTAACACATACAAATATCAATACACAAAGCAACCAAAACGCTACAGTGGTTGAGTTAAAGTACCAATACTAACATATAAGTATCAGAAGAAAGAACAGCCTTATAGGATTTCTGTTCTCCTCCTTCAACACGCAGCTGGCATAGGGTCCAGGGTCATTGCTGATCCCTGACACTGGGTGAGCAGCTCACCCAGAATCTTCCCATGGGGGGGGGGTGCCATTTATGGAAAGTCGGCAAAGAGCTGAAAACTGTATAGTTCCTGACTCCCATTTGTAGTGGCTTCACAGGAGGTTGAGAAGGTTACCCTTCTTCTCAACTCATTTCCTGTGAAGCCTGGGGCTAGCCCCCTCAGTGAGTTTGAAGATCTCGGACTGGGACTAGATACCCCAGTGACTAGGAGGATCCTCCTGGGCCCATTGTGGAATGAGGGCCAGGCCCTGACACAACTCCGCTGCTCAAAGCTGTTGAAAACTGACCCGGAGGTGAATCGCCAATGCATTGCAACTACAAATCAACCCAATCCTCTTCATCAGCCTTGCTTGTGGTCAAAGAAATGAATGGGCACCTGGTCGAAAAGGGGAATGTGAATGTGAGTCGTCCATTATGTAGAATACTTGCAGGAAACATACATCACTTCATCTTCAATGACCACCAGCTCTTTGACATCAAGCAAAGTATCCTGTTTGGAGTCCAGCTTACCTTGTGTGTTGCCAGACAGAGCCTTAGATGCGACTTCCTTTCCTTTCCCATGATGATCCATAGTGAGCAGTTCCTCAACAGGAGGCAACAGAAGGACCTCTTCATTGTTGGACCCACACTCCAAGGAGGATTCATCTCTTTTTTTTGTTCTCACCATTACAAGTGAAGAAGGGACCATGCTTGGGCAGACCCGGCAACTCTTCTTCAGCAATGCATTTTTTGCTGCTGGACACAATGACAATAGGATCCTCTTGCAATGCTCCAGCCCGACCGACTATCTGTATCACAGTCCAGTGCAATTGAAAGGAGTGGATTTCACCCCTCACTGTATTTTGTGCTTGGGTGTTAGTACACAGGCCAATCAGCCAACAGAACAGCTGTAGCATGGTAGTCAAACAGGAGGATGTACAAATGCAGAGACACAGTGCCGATGACTGCCATTCCTTCCTTAAAAATCAATTCTATTCCATTGCATGAGACATCTATACTGTTGTCATCAAAAGCGTGGAGGTTGACATGGAACTTAAAGTCTCTTTGCATGTTGGGAGATGGGAGTGCATGATGATAGTGACCTTTGGGATCCCACTGGGGATGAGAGAATACAGAAGGAGTGGCATCATTGTTGCTTGTTGTCACACTAGCTGGAGAGGCGGCATCTGCAGGCAATCCATGAGTGAAACAATGAAGGCAAGACTATAGGGCTGCAAGAAGGAGTACAAACCGGTTTCTAATGCCAAAGACACCTTTACTTTTTTGCCCTCCTTGAGGGGAGATGCTCTGCTCTCCAAAAACATAGGGTGAAGGATCCAAAGGAAAGGACAATTCTGATTGTCCAAATATGCCCATCTGAACTCGTTCTCACAAATCTCAATCACATCCTCTGTATGGGTTCAGATGATGTTGCGAAGAATTTAGTAAATAAATCACCCACCTTTGCAGTGCACCCCCAAGCCAGAGGCATTCTTAATCTGGTTAAGAGCCCGGATTTGATCTGCAAATAACTTTTTCACCATTCATGGAGCTGAAGAAGGCATGCTGAGGTGCATTTGGTATCTGGTTGCATTAACCTTTGATCACTGACCAAACAATTAGGATCAGTACTGAGGCGAGAGTTGGAACCTGAGCACAGTACACATGCCTTGCTCATGCCATGTGTTAAAGGGAGTGGACCATTGATTTCCATAAGGACCCACCTCAGTCATGGAGATTATGCCGAAAAGTGCAAATTCACCCAAGACATTGCATTTCTCTTGTAAGACCCAAGACCCACAAATGCTTTGCCCATTTGAGGATGTGGCACTTTTGTATGACAAAGATGAAGCATCAATCAATCCCAAAAAATCCTCAGCTTGTGTGTGTGCAAGGAGATGAGAAATAATGGTGGATTCCATCTTGAGTTTGCACAAAGAGGGCACCGAGAGTGAGAGCTGTCCATCGAAGCAGCTTTTATCCATCCCCAGTGTCAGGGAGTGACCCAGGGTCAAGAGCGCCCAGGTGTGCCACCTGGCACTGAGGGCCCGATAGGGTGTAACACAGGTGCGTGTACTAACGGGCCCAGCACAAAAGGGTGTCCCTGGCCACTTAGACTAAAGTGGGAAGTGTGAGAAGAAGGTTACTTCTCAGTTCCCACTTAGGCTGTGTTTATGTACATGTGGTTGAAGGTCATGTGGGGGGTGCCATGTCATTTACGCACACAGCCATATCCGCCCGGGTATCTCCATAAGAGATCCCAGGAGCATCTGGTGTGTAGGGCATCACCTGGTGTGTCCGGGTCCGGGCATGTTGCACAGCCATGTCATATCCGTGCATACCTGATCCCGAACCGACTCCCGGACCTCCATCTTCACCACCTCCGGAGTCCTACCCTCCACCCTTCCATCCCTCCCCTACTGTCATATCCCGGAATTCCGACCCCGCGCACTCCCACCACATCACACCTTCCTAACAACTTCACCATCCCCTACACCATGCCTCCCCACTCTCCAAGTCACCTTCCCTCCTGACTGTCTCAGCTCCGGTCTGGTTGTGGCACACCGAACCTTGGCCACTCCCATCCCGGAACCTCGGTCCCGAGTCGGAACATTCGGAGACCCTGGATTTGCTCCGATACCCCGATGGACCTCCGATATCCCGTGACACGCCCTTAAACCCTTCCTCCACCCATTTCATTTATTTGAGTCACCTAACATCCTTCGGATACGCAACTCCGCTTTCAGAGCTACCCGCATCCTTCGGTGATCTCCCTCACGTTATCATTTATTAGTCACCTTCCATTCTTAGCACGACTACCTTTTTACTACCATCCAGTCGGCTAACCCCCTTTGTCCATTTGTCTTCCACATTCATTTTCCGGCCTTCAACTCCACCCTCCTTGGCCCGACACCTCGGTTCCCCGTTCTAATATCGTTCGGGACCTTTCATTACCTTTCGGTACCTCTCGGTATCATTTGGTACCTTTCGGTGTTTTCCCATTTGTCAGTTTGGACTTTGACTAAAGTCCTCCCCATCCTCCTTTTAAATACACGTAGATTAGAACCTGTAGTTCCTCAGTTCTAATCTCGACTAAAATGCCACCCAAAGTCCCTCTGAGTGATTCCCGTCCCCATTCTACAAGACACCTCAGACATAAGAAATACAAGGACTAACTGAGACATAACGGAGGCACAGCGCTCCCTCCGAGTCGCTGAGGCCGTGTCCTTCTTAGAGCCTCTTGTACCATCCAGCAGAACCGGGCTCCCTGAGAAGCTTCGGTTCACTACTGGAGCCCTCGGACCCCCCTCTAGTTGAGCCCCACCTGCATTCGGACTCACGCATTTATCCCCTCTTCCACAACCCGGGTTTTTAACACCTACCCTTCTCCCATCTGCTCCGACACTCACCTTTGGACCTGACACCTTTCCTCTCCTCCACTCCACTCCCCTTTCCTCTCTCCTCTCTCTTCCCTCTGACCCTCTTCCACTGACCCTCCGCCAAGTTATGACCTTCCGCCACTGTCCCGTACCCCAAACTCGGACTACACTCATACCTTTGCTCCAAGATTCTGTCATAGCTCCGACCTCAGACTTTGACTCCACCTTGGTTTTAGTCCATTGCATTGGTGACCTCATACTATGTAAACACCATTGCCAATATTCCTCGGACTTTCAACCCTGCCTCCATAACCTCCGTAAGCTCCGTAAGCTCCGAGCTCCATGGATCATCTTCGGCACCTTCACCGCTTGTAATGTATCTTTCGCATTTTCCCCTCATCCCTATTTGGACTGCTGCTTCTTCCCATTCTAGCCAGTTAGTCATCATCCCCACTTCACCTCACCTCCTGCCCCTCTGGGCCTTGTGCTCCCTATCTCCTTTCAGATGTACCACAGGTTCTGCCCTATGACCTTCGGCAATGCTCCACTTCCACCATCCCTTTGTTCCCGTTTGGACGCCTTTGTTCTGATTCAGACCCCCTTTGTTTCCCTTGTGCTTTTGCCCCCTCCATTAAATACTGACGCTTGTACATACTCGTTTTAGGCCCTTAGTCTAAAATCGACCTGAAATGCCCCTAGAGACTTCCTGCTCACCGCCTATGAAATTAAGGACCAAATGGACAAACAGCAATGGCACAGCGCTCTGCTTGAGTTGCTGAGGCCAAGGTCCCTCCTTGCTAAGTCTCCGGTTCCCCTCCGGAATCGTCTGCCCTCACCCAGTTCTAACAAGCCGGGTTAATGGTACATTGATGCAAGGAAAGTTGTCCGTGTAGTAGGAGAGGAAAGAAGAAGGAAGATGTCAAAAACCCGGATCGTAGGGGTAAATGCGTGAGTCTGAATGCAGGTGGGGCTCAACTAGAGGGGGGTCCGAGAGCTCCGGTAGTGGACTGAAGCTTCTCAGGGAGCCCGGTTCTGCTGGATGGTACAAGAGGCTCTAAGAAGGATGCGGCCTCAGCGACTCGGAGGGAGCGCTGTGCCTCCGTTACATCTCAGTTAGTCCTTGTATTTCTTATGTCTGAGGTATCTTGTAGAACGGAACGGGATTCACTCAGAGGGACTTTGGGTAGCATTTTAGTCGAGATTAGAACTGAGGAACTACAGGTTCTAATCTACGGGTATTTATAAAGAGGAGTGGAAAGGACTTAGTCAAAGTCCGAATGAAAATGGGGCAACAATGAAAGGTGCCGAATGATACTGAGAGGTACCGAAAGGTCCCAAACGATATCTTAAATGGGGAACTGAGGTGTCGGACCAAGGAGGGTGGAGTTGGAGGCCGGAAAATGAATGGGAACGAGAAATGGGTAAGGGGGGGTTAGCCGACTGAATGGTAGGAAGAAGGTAGTCGTGCTAAGAATGGAAAGTGACTAATAAGTGATAACGTGAGTGAGATCACCGAAGGATGCGGGTAGCTCCGAAAGCGGAGTTGCGTATCCGAAGGATATTAGGTGACTCAAATAAATGAAATGGGTGGAGGAATGTTTTAAGGGTATGTCACGGGATGTCGGAGGTCCGTCGGGATATCGGAGCAAATCCGGAGTCTCCAAATGTTCCGACTCGGGACCGAGCTTCCGGGATGGGAGTGGCCAAGGTTCGGTGTGCTGCCACCAGACTGGAGCTGAGACAATCAGGAGGGAAGGTGACTTGGGGAGTGGGGAGGCATGGTGTAGGGGATGGTGGAGTTGTTAGGAAGGTGTGGTGTGGTGGGAGTGCACGGGGTCGGGATTCCGGGATATGACAGAAGAAAGGAAAGAAGAAAGAAGAAGAGAAAGAAAGAAGGAGAGAGGGGGGAGGAGAGAAGGGAGGAAGGAGGGCAGGGGCACTGGGTGAGGGTAGTGGGATTGGGTGGGGCTGGACCGGGTGGAGTGGGGTCAGGTGGGTGTGCCCTGACACCCGGAACTGGTGCATGAAAAGTGGCAGAAAACCTAGCAGCATGGAAAAGGATGAGAATGATCACCGCAAATTGAAACCCCAGCACATCAGATGCAAATGGGGAGGTTTGGAGTCATAACAAATCCAGGAGCACAGCAAAGGAAGAGAAAGATGGTAAATTCCGTTTTGGATCCATCTGAGTTCAAGGGTGAATTGACACCCTGGTGCCTCAGACCCCAGGGGATTTCCAACATAACAGCAGATGGTCTCAGAAGTTGTTCGGTACAGGGGAAGGGGAGGTTTGGAGATGGTGGGTCTTGTGCATGGTGTGTGGATTCGGAGCCATCGGAAAACAAGTGTTGGGGACAGGTTTGGAGATAGATCAACTGGTGGTTCTTGTGCCTGGTGTGCAGATTTGGTGCTGTCAGAAAATATGTGTTGGGTCGCAAATTGGCTGTGGGTCTTGTTCAGTTCAACCCTGAACCAGATGATGCCAAATTTGATGGAAAGTCGACCAACTCAGCTTTGCATAGTACTGATCAGCTGGCAGAGGGTTGCAGTTATTTCAAATGCAAATCAACTCACCTTGCCATACTACTGATCTTCAGGAGGGACACTTCAAGCTATTCTAACCTCCTTCTCTTACTCCTTGGTGGATCATGTGGCTGGTGCAGGGCACTCCGCCCTATTGAAAAAGATGAGTTGGATCAACAATAGTGCAACCCAATTGTAGGGTAGCCACATACCTGCTGTTCAAGAACTTGCCATCAATTGCATTTTTAATGCCATGGCCTCTGCATGATGGAAGTTTTGTGAAGTTGTCCACAAAATAGTCTTGCATTCTAGAATTTGCAGCCAAGAGTGTTCCTTGCATAGGTCTCCATTCATGTGAGACATAATATGTTTGGGGTTGAAAGGGTGCAAAATCAGCAAGTTTTCCAGTGCTGTAGCATGTGATATCATCACATAAGCTGATTGAATGGAACAGGCACTTTTGATGTCAAGGATCACTTTGGGCATCATCCTACCTTGAGATTTGTAGTCAGTAATACAAAATGCTGGGAGCAATGGCAGTTGGGTTCGTTTCACAGTAACTGATTGACCACTGAATGGGTATGATACTTTGAAGGATAGCGTTTTCGGCAAAATCACACATTCATGAGGGAGCAGCTCTGTAAAAGAATGTTCACTGGAATCTTCAATTCTGACCACACAGCTGGTGGCACACCATGTGCCATGATCATCTGTGGTGTAACGCACTGATTTGAGGATTCCTTCACTGCCATTCACAATACCCCCTGACACATCGAAATTGTCACAGACCATCACTGGCATCTGAGGCAGTAAAGGCAAACGGCCAATGGTGTAACCAGTCTGTGAGTCAGATGTGAGATTCAAGAGTAGATCAATCAGTGTTTCATCCTCCATTTTCTGATTGCGGAGATAGTGGGTGGCTTCATATGTTGAAAGAGGCAGTTGATGATGAGCAGCAAATGTCTTCACTGCTGATCAATTTAATGCATCTTTCACAGCATTGGAGGCTGTTACAATGGGAGCAGCATCCCATGTGTTTGAATGCAGGTCATCTGGTGGGATGGATTGGAGCAGCTGGCTATCCAGCAAAGATTTATCAGCCAGTGTACATGTACCAAATCTCAATCTGGACAGGAGATCATGAAATGCAGTGTTGTGGACACCTTCTTGACACATAGACTGCTTCAGAAACACCACTGTGTCAACCAGTAACCACAGCTGAGATCCTTTAAGTTTCTTTTGTCCATGGTCTAATATAGAGTCAGATGGCTTATTTGTCAACATCTTAGTAGCTGTATAGAGTCTGGTGTAGCCAACAGGGGGCAGTTGACAAAAATCACCTGCAAAAATCATGCTGATCCCACCAAAAGCATCAGTTGATTCTCTTGCCAGTGATAGTGCAGCACTAATATCCACCAATAGTTCACAACCAATCATAGAAACTTCATCAATGAATAAATAGTCCACTCCACACCAGAAGTGAATCAGATCAGTGCAACTTTGAGAGCCATTGGATCTCATCATCAGTGGCAACTGAGACAAATTGAGGGCTGAGTGTAACATGCAACCAATGATGTTTTGTGCTGCAGCACCAGTGAAAGCACATAAATGCAGTCAACATGACTGGTTGATTGAATCTGTCAAAAACCTGGATCCTAGGGGAAGATGCGTGAGTCCAAATGCAGGTGGGGCTCAACTAGAGGGGATCCAAGAGCTCTGGTAGTGAACCGAAGCTTCTCCAGGAAGCCCGGTTCTGCTGGGTGGTACAAGAGGCTCTAAGAAGGATGTGGCCTCAGCAACTCGGAGGGAGTGCTGTGCCTCTGTTACGTCTCAGTTAGTCCTTGTATTTCATGTGTCTGAGGTATCTTGTAGAAAGGGGTCAGGATTCACTCAGAGGGACTTGGGTAACATTTTAGTCGAGATTAGAACTGGGGAAAACTACAGGTTCTAATCTACAGGTATTTATATGGAGGAATGGGAAGGACTTTAGTCAAAGTCCGAATGATAATAGAAAACACTGAAAGGTGCCAAATGATACTGAGAGGTACCGAAAGGTCCCAAACAATATCTTTAACGGGGAACTGAGGTGTGGGGTCAAGGAGGGTGGAGTAAGAGGCCAGAGGATGAATGGAAACAAGAAATGGGTAAGAGGGGGTTAGCCAGCTGAATGTAAGAAGAAGATAGTCATGCTACAAATGGAAGGTGACTAATAAGTGCTAACGTGAGTGGGGTCACCGAAGGATGCAGGTGTCAGGGCACGGCCTAACTGGCTACCCTGACTCCCTATGCCGGAAGGGAGTTGCCGTAAGACGATCTGGAGTGATCCGAAGAACGCAGGTAATCTCGCTTAGCTCTCGCTTAGCTCCCGCTTTCTATCTTCCGTCCACATGTCACCCCTTTCCCACACCTCGCTTACGATTATCCGAATGAATAGCTATCTTTTCATGTCATCATTCTATCGGTTATCTTCTATCTCGTTGTAGCCGCACTCTAGTGGGTAGTGGTACCCATGTATATAACTCCTATCTCCGCTGAGGGTGGCACCTCAGCGTTAACAACGACTAGGATTCTCGGGAACACCCTTATCGTCGCGAACTGACGCGCAGTCCCTGACAGCAGGTAGCTCTGAAGGCGGAGTTACATATCCGAAGGATGTTGGGTGACTCCAATAAATGAAATGGGTGGGGGAATGGTTTAGGGGTAAGTCACGGGATGTCAGAGATCCATTGGGAGATCGGAGCAAATCTGGAGTCTCCAAATGTTCTGACTCAGGACCGAGCTTCCAGGATGGGAGTGGCAAAGGTTCGGTGTGCTGCAACCAGGCCGGAGCTGAGACAGTTAGGAAAGAAGGTGACTTGGGGAGTGGGGAGTTATGGTGTAGGGGATGGTGAAGTAGTTAGGAAGGTGTGGTGTGGTGGGAGAGTGTGGGGTCAGGATTCTGGGATATGACAGAATTAAAGAATGCTGATAATGCCTTAATCACTTCTGATTTCCCAGTACTGCCTGCACCACCCATATACATGTACAATGGTTGCCAAAGATCAGAAGGCTGTATGGCATGATTGGCAACCAGAAGAAAAGCATGCTGTTGTTCTACATTCAGTGAAAATTGTGTTGTGACTGCATTCAGCACCTCCTGGATGGCGATCAGTTGGCTCAGCGGTGGGTGACTGATGATCTGAGGCAGTACAGAACTCCAAGTAACATTGGAGTAAGATTCATTGAGTATGAGCATTGCTTGCATTGAATTTTCTGAATTGAGGTGTTGGTGCCAGGAAGAAGAGTTAGCCAGCATTGACTGTTTCAGAGCCTCTTTTGCCACTTGTTTCCATGTCTTATAATCATCCAATCACCTTAATTCTAAAGTGCCATGATCTGTGACTGGCTGAGCAAAGTTATCACCTCTGGATTGATGAGAAAGGAGAGCATTCAGTGTGGGGGATCCAATAGAACATCCTCGGTGACAGTGTCAATGAATAGCCCAGCATCTATGGCATGGTGAACGGCATTCTGAATGTCCTCATCTTCCCGACAATGTTTGGTGGTACTTACTTCTTCCATGTCCAGAAGCTGATGAAGAATGGCTTGATCAAGTTCAAAATTCAAGTCAGCACCTTCTTCTGCATTGGTGACAGCATGGGCATTGTTTGTAATGAAATCAGTGTCATGGCCTTGCCCTCGATGCTTTGCATACTCCATATCATGACTGTTTTTGCATTCATGTAATATTTGAATATTGTCAATCAGTTGCCAGGTATGGACAGAAACTGTGGGCAGAAATGCATTGAAAGCCACTGACCAGGAGGTGTTGTCACCTAAAAGGTTGAGTGGAGAATGCCATGGTTTAAGAAGTGTGAGCATGACACATGAATAATATTCCAGGTTGGCACTGTTGTCATGATGGGGAAGGCTAGGGCCAATTGGAACAGCAATCAGGTGAGAGCAACGATGCCTCAAAAAGTGTGTCAAATGATGAGGATGACTCTCATTAAGGCTGGAGTGAGGCAAACAATGTAAGTAAACATTTCCATCACCTTCATCATCAACATTGGGTTCATTGACTGTGGTAGTAGAGCATATACGTACTTTGTCTACCCAGGAAACAAAATCCCAAATGTTCATCTGCTCAAAAAGTGGGGGCTGATTGCAAGCAAGATAATCTGTGAGTTGATTTGGTGGGCATTCAATATGCCCAGAAGATGGGTTCATTTCCAAAATGTAAGCATCTTCAGCATTTGAGTCATCTTGAACATACAATCCACCAGCTGGAGCAGGTGAACTGCCTGTGGATGTTGTCATATCCATACAATCCTGACCTCCACTCCGGGCTCCCAGAACTCTGAAACTGACTCCGGAGCCCTACTTCCCTTCTGTCACCTTCTCCTTGCCAACTCCCAAGAGGTTATCCCACCTGTGGCTCCGACACCACCTTCGGTCCGACTCTGGAACATTCCAGGTCCGACCTCAACCTCGGCACCTTCCAGACAAGCATGCAACACCTATGCTCCCGACTCCGGACCTCTGCTCTGGGATCCCATTTGCATCACCGTCTCCAGAACCTCTGGTCTTAGCTCCAACCTTGGACTTTGACCCCACCTCCACTTATACCCATTGTATTGGTTAGCTCATTCCATTTAATTACCTTTGCCAATATTCTGGAGTTTAACTTCTGAGTTTGGACTTTCCGGACTTACTTCAGACCTTGCAACTATTGCATTGTGTCACGACCTGACATATCCATCACTTCCATCAATGCATCCTAGTGCCACTTGGCCCATCCCGCCCGCTAACATCATCATCCGTCCATCCATCTGTCCACCCATCACCCTCATCTGCACTTCCTCCCCCACGCATGTACCTTCCAACCTAGGTTGCCCACTTCATTGTTGTCCGCCTGCCAGCCGGACGGCTTGCTAGATGGCTGGATGGTCTTTTCTCTTTTGTTCGCTTGTGGACTATTGTTCCTCCTTTTGTTTCTTGCTTGCCTTTTGTTGACCAAGTTTGCCGATATTAACTATTTGTCTCTTTCTTCATTCATTAATATCGCACTTGATCTGCCACTCCTTCTGGGCCAGTCCTATTTAGTTACTTGTGTTTATAAGGCATGTAGGTTACACCGGATGTACCTCAGTTCGTATATCGACTTGGATTTCCCCTCTAGACTCCTCTCCTCATCGTAAGGCTTCTGTCTGAAATTGGGACACCAACGTAAGAATGAAGCACAGCGCTCCACCTGAGTTGCTGAAGCTAAAGTCCCGCCCCTCCAACCTTATGAGCCCGGATGACTTTGCGCACCTTGCGGGTCACCCAGATACACGTCCGACACGTTCCTGACTGTCAGGGATGCGTCCGGGGTCAAGGGGGTCCGGGTGTAATGCCTGGCACTGAGGCCGTCGTGAGGTGCAGAGCAGGCGTGCGTGGTGACGGGCCCGGTCCGGGACAACGATCCCTGGCCACTCAGACTGAAGTGGGAATCGTGAGTTGTTATTAAAAAGGAAGCTATGCTACTTACCTGAAGTGGGAATTGTGAGAAGAAGGTTACTTCTTTGGTTCCCACCCCAGGTACTTTTATGTACATGCAGCTTGGGTCACATGAGGTTTGCCACATCACCCTGCATACAGCCGCAGTCATCCAGGTGTCCCCATGGGGGATCCCGAAGGTGTGTGCTGCACGTGCGTGTGCTGGGTTGCACTGTGAGGCCATCCAGGTCATCCAGGGCTGGGTGCGTCGTGCATGCATCACGGGCAGGTCAATAATACATAGATAAGGGGAAATGTTGTCCATGTAGATAAAGATAGAAGAAAGGGCAAGAGAGCAAAAGAACAGAAGGACAAAGGAAGAACAAGAAGTGAGAAACAATGGTGAAGGGTGAGGGGTGGAGGTGGGCAGGGTACCAGGTGAAGCCGGGTGGAGCCGGGTCGGGCGGGTGTGCCCTGACACTGACACATTGCTCCATTCAATTCCGCTATTCTCCCTCATTCCTATTTGGGCTGCTCCTTTCTATTCAGTCAGCTGGCCATTCCCCACTCCCATCCTCCTTCCTTCCTCCTTGGGCCTTGGCCCTTCACTCCTCCTTTGGGAAACACCATTGAGTCAAACCCTTGACCCTCAGTGTTGTTCCTCCTTCCAGCTCCCTTTGTCTGCTTTCAGAGTACCCTTGCTCCTTTTGATTCCGGACCCCTCCTTATAAACAATGTACATAGTAACTTGTAACCTCAGTCTGAAATTGACTTGATTTCCCCCCAAGAGACTTTCCTTTGCTAGATCTGAAATTAGGGACCCCCAGGACAACCAGCAATGGCACAGTGCTCCACCTGAGTCGCTGAGGCTGAGGTCCTTCCACACTAAGTCTCTGATTCCATTCCAGAGTTGTCCGAATCCACCATATCTAACAGATGTCACTTCATTCTGTTGTACATAAGACACAAAACATGTCCAAAACAAAGGGCGGAATTTGTGACTGGTAAAAAGATCATCATATCCAAGTAAGTAAGAAGCCACCTGAGGAGTGGCCAGCTCTTGCTTGGCAATTAGAGCATTTGCGCACTTAATCAATGTACTTTTGGCATGATCCATTGTGCACAGTGGTTGCTCATGATTTTGATGCAATTTGGCAACAGCAGCTTGCAGTGCACCATATGCCACATGTGTTTTTAGTGGGGTTTTGGTAATGTAGTCCATTATGTAATACAAAATGGCCTTGGCTGAAGTGCCCAACCCAATGAATTTAATGTCCATGTTGCATCTGACAGCTTTGATGATGGTTTCACAGTAATTGTTTATCATCCCATTGGAAATTCGCAAAGAAAGTCCCCCAATGTCCATGTCCATAGAGCTGGAAGCACAAGTGCATGCAGGAGATAAGCCAAAACAACACTCTGTGTTGCTATGTTTATAGCAAGTTGCTGTATGTGTATGTGATTGGCATTTGGTTACTAAGTTATGCAAGTCCTGTTCACAAATCATGAGGGGATGCTGGAGTGGATGGAAGTGGTTGGAGAAACAATCAGTCACAGATTGATGATCTGGGATTACATTTCTGATGGTGTCATCTAAAAAGTCAAGCAGCTTATCATGCCATAGATAGTCTTGGTCCTTCAGAATGTGGTCTTTGATTTGCTGTGGATTCAAAGCACCTTGGATCCACACCAGCATATGACAGTGCAGTGTACCTTGTCCTTGTGTTTCTACTGTACCATAATGTGCACTGCAAGGCCCCAAAATACCATCAGAACATATAGCATCAGTCTCAGTGTGACCCAGGATAGCAGAAACAAATGCATCAATGATTAGTTTAAAAAAACATGCAGCCAGAAAGGGGTTTCAGGCCACAGTACATGCCTGCTCCTAGTAAGATGGGACTTGTTCTGGTAACATATTGTCAATGTCAATGTCTGCACCAGATAAAAATTTAACAATTGGATTGTAAACATCTGCTGGATTGATGGTTACAAAAAAACTAGGAGGCCCATGGTCAAAAATGAGCACTCAAATTTCATTCCTCATCTGGGTGCATGCACTTTGAGACCCAGGCACTTTGGAAGTGATGACAGAGACTTCTTTCACCAGTTGGCACACAGCACGTTCATCAGGACTTTGTGGGGAAAAGTGATTTCCATGAGATAAATGGGCAAGGGTAGCATCAAAAGTAGCAGATGATACATGTATTTCAGAGGCAACTCGATCAAAATTAGCATTGGAGGTTTTGAGTTGGCTGTGAAACAATGTGGTTTGTTGTTGGATGATGTTGAAGATGAGGAAAAGAAAGGAATAATGTTCCTGAAACCTTTGATCAGACAAACCAAACAGATGCTTTGCAAATCTTTCCAAGCTAAGTGGGGAGGAACAGCTATAATGAAACCCTCCAATGCCATATGGAAACAAAGTTGGATATAAAAGTGGCAGTAAGTGGGGATCAGAATAATGATTCACAGGATCAGGCAAATGACCCACTTGAATGTGGCCCCCTATCTCCCTGTTGCATCATTTGAGGTGGTGAATTGCTGCTGCACTCATTTCTGCTGAGTTTGACCCACACATGTCTATATCAGTGACAACCACACTTTGCAAAAGGTCACTGAGTGGTGGAGAGGGTTCAAGTGGCATTCCAACATCATTAACTAGAAGGTCATAATGAGCCCCTGGTGCATCACCAGCCACAGAGCCCACAGCTTGCTCAATGGGAACCGGTGCTATGTCATGAAGTGGAATCTGGTGTAGATGATCTTGATGCAAAATGACATCACTATACAGCGGATTGTGACTAATGAGCCATTCTAATGCAGACTGCACTTTCTCTCAGCGAACTATCAAAGGCCGCACATTATTCAATAACCACTTGTAAGGAGTGGTAACCCCACCCCTTATTTCCCATTACATAATTGTATAATTGTCTTGTAGTCTCCATGGCAGAGGGCTTTGGCCTCAGCGACTCAGACCAGGAGTGCTGTGCCAAGTTACACGTCCATGCCCTGATTTACTTACTGGCAACGAGAACTAAAAAGGGGGATTGTCAGGGCACATACCCTGACTTAGCCCGGACCCGGACCCGTGTCCGGACCCGCTCCACTTCCCACGCACTTCTCATGCTGCACGCTCCGTGCGCCGCATGATCCGACCCCGGATCCCACCTCATGTGACTTCTGGGTATCCCCGGAAGTTTTCGCCATATTGGGGCCACTGTGGGAAAGTGAGAAGTTAACCTTCTTCTCACTTTCTTACCCACAGTAGTGTTATGCCCTGAGATGGGCTGCTGTTACAGGTTAGCCTGTGGGCCATAGAGAGGGGTCATGGGGACCTGGGGTCCATCCCCTGACAGGGATCAACTCTAGTTGATTTTATCACTGGAGTGTAACCTATCTACAAGTTAAGTATATATAGTTACAGCGAGGCAGTCCCGTGAATGGCAGGACCGAGCAGAGCGGAGCTAATGGAGTTAAACATTAGCCAACTGAATATTACTGATGAGTTGGGTTATGGAGTTAGCAGAATGGCAGGCGATAACCCAGAAACGGAAAAGAGGGTAGACTTGCAGGGCAAGCAACTGAATTGCCCAGCAGGGGCAGGAGTGTGCTAGCGGATGTCGGAGCTGTCCGGAAGCCTTCGGGGCTCTGTACTTAGGGAGGTGAAGGTAATATATTGAAAAGAGGGGGTGGTGACCATCAAGGGAGTTGGAGGTGATTGCGAATACAGGGGCTCCAAGGTTAGTGAAGTGTCACAACTGACAAATCCTGGGGCTCCGTCAGCGGCGAATCAATGCCGATAGGCGAATCTGCCGACCCGAAACCCAATCTAACCAGCCCCCAATCCGATGTCTGGCCCCCTGCCCTATCAACCATGCACTGCATCCAGACCTCCACCCGCATCCAGACTTCTGTCCGCATCCGGACCTCCACCCACATCTGTACCTCTGCCCACCTCCACACCCTCTGGACCTCTGCCACTCCTGGTTGCCCTCCACACCCTGTGGTCAGGCCAACACTCCCCTCCAACCTTGCTGGCCATCATGCTGCCCTTGTTTGTGACGGCACTGATGGACCACCCTCTGTTGCGGACTTGTCAGCACCATGCTGATTTCCATGTCCCTTCACGGACTTGTGTTGGCACCGCACTGACCCCGCTTATTTGCGGACTTGTATCGGCGCTGCGTGCTGCGCGCTGACCTCTGCTCTTCTCTGGCCATCTTGTCACTCGGCAGCATACCATTCATTCCTTGCCAAGTGCCTATATTGTTCATCCATTCATTCGCTTAACTTGCCAATATTGGCACTTGATCCATGTGCTGATGCACTTCTTATTACCTGTCAATATTGGCATTTGATCCACTTTTGTTTAGTTCATTGCCTCCCATTTCCTGGGCTCTTGTCCTTCATTCAGTTTGACAATCCCCGCTTATTTCCGCGCCGGACTGCGCTGGATTGACCAGTCCTTCTGTGTTTCCCTCCTGCCTATTTATATCCTGTAAATACTTTCAGGGACCTTAGTCTGAAATCAACTAGAGTACCCCCCCTGTCTGGTCTGAGTCTCTCCTTCTGCAAAGGGGGCTTCCCCCCCCTCTGAGTCCGTGCTCCTCCTACAGGTCCACTCCACCCGCAAGTCTTGTTTGAAGTCCACTGTGAGTGTCAGTCTGTAAATATGGGATCTCCCCCAAACGTCAAGCTCAGGGCACAGCGCTCCACCTGAGTCGCTGAGGCCACGATCCCACTCTGTTAACCTTGAACAGCACTTCCGGACGCACCGCATATTTCCGCCCGCATATCCACGTGCACGCTCCAACAGACAGACCTCTGCATCACCTCCAACCTCAACTCAGACAGAACCCAATCCGTCTTCTATCCGCCTCCTGACAGTGTTCCGACTCTGCCACAATCTCCAACTCCGACAATAATCCAGTCTCTGACAAAATCCCGTCTCTGACATGAAGAAGGAGTGGAGGTAATCTGGAAGGGTCAGAGGTAGTGGAAGACGATGGCCATGGATGGTATGACAGTATCCCCTTCTTAGGCCTGAACCCTTGAAGGCCCAGAATTAGTAAGGTGAGGGGAGCTGTACTTACAGAAAAAGAAATGGGAATGGGGAGTGGAGAGAAAGGGGAGAAAGGGGAGAAAGGAGAGGAGTCGAGGTTCCTAAGGAGCTTCAGGACCAGGCTTGTCTGGGTACCAAGAGTGGAAAGCTTTGACGAGGTCAGAGGCGTGATCGAGTTTGCCGGCAAGGAGCCATTGTGTCTCCTTGTCGGTCCCTTCATAGCCTAGCCACTTGACCAGGTAGAGCAACTTGTTGCATCTACGTCAGTTGATCTTGGAGTTGAGTATCTCTTTGATCTTGAACTCCATTTCACCTTCGATTTCTATTGGAGGTGGAGGTGGCTGGTGGCAGTTTGGAATGATGTTTGGGACGGAGGGTTCGATCTGCAAGACATGGAATACCGGGTGAATGGCTTGCATGTTTTCCGGCAGGTGGAGGGTGAGGGAGTGGGTTCCAACGTGGGCAATGATCTCGAATGGGCCAAGGTTTTTCTCGGAGAGCTTCTTGGAAGGTCAGGTGGAATGGAAATACTTGGCCTTTATATAGACCAAAGTTCCTACTTCGAAAGCTGGGGCAGGACTCCGACAGGAGTCTGCTGGGCCCTGGTAATGGATTTGAGTGTGGTGCATTTCCTCATGAAGGAAGTGGTGGAGGGAGTTGAGATCTACCGAGTACTCTTGGGCACGTTGTAGGAGGGCACAGCAAGTACCACACAAACAAGGCCAGAACCACGTTTTTCGAGGCTCCAACGAGCACCCTAAAGCCTCCGACGCATTCACAATGCCCACGGGACATTTCCACGTTTTTTTTCCAATTTTTTCCATGGTTTTTTTCTCAAGACCCATATTGCCACTTCCCCAAAATTCACGGATATCCACCATTTCCCCCATATCTCCACCAATTTTCCACCAATTCACACGATTTTGAGCTTGAAGGACAGCGACGGATTAGGAGAAGAGGATGGAAGGACGGGACGGGAGTTAGGATGACGGATATGCGGTGGAGAAGCGAGATTGATGGTTGATATTGACCTTATGGGCCTTTTTATTGCTACCTTGTGGACACTTTTTTGCCTTATTGTTTCTTAGCCGAGTTCTCAACATTCTTCCTGTTTCCATTGACACCATCCATCGGCTATTTTTTGTTCTGATTTCCCTTTTTTTTCTATAAATATGCCCAGTTTATCTTGTACTTATGTTGTTGGACCCCTCATCTGTGCTACAAAGACTGTGGTGTTGAGCGACCCTTCCATACATTTAAAGAGCTTAGTCTGACTCCCTGATGACTGTCCAAGAAGGACCAGGGTGAGTTCTGAGTTTTAAAAGAATTTATTAGTATCGTGCACTTGCACCGGGACCGTGTGTGGCCTTACCGGTAGTAAGATTTTCTTTGCCCCCTTTTTCTTTTCTTGTTTGCTGCTGGGTTACATCCCTAGCATGCTTACAGCATACTGATGTTAAGTCTCGCTCTGGGTGAATGGTGATGTTCAGATGGTAGCCCTTATTGGCAAAGAATGGAGAGACACCTGTGGTGGCATTTGGAGCATTGTTGTATGTGAACTCCACAAGAGGTAGGAGTTCGGACCAATTATCCTGCTGGTAGTTACTATAGATGCGCAGGTACTGCTTGAGTGTCTGGTTCATCTGTTTGGTCTGTCTGTCTCCTTCCGGATGATAACTGGAGGTGAGGTGAAGTGGAGGTAGATGTTGAGGGCCTTACCAAGTGAATGGAAAAAGTGAGAAACGAACTCCAGACCCCTGTTGAAGGTGACATGGGAAGGAACTCCATGCTTGGAGAACACATGGAGGAGGAATAGCTTAGCCAGTTCCGGAGAGGTGATGGTATTGTGGGTAGGAATGAAAATGCACTGTTTAGACAGGCAGTCCATGATGACCAAGATGGAAGTGAATCTGGAAGAGGAGGGTAGCTGTTCGATGAAATCCATGGAGAGACATTCAGGGATAGGGAGTTGTTTGAGTAAGCCATAAGGCTTGTGATGGGGAACTTTGGCATGGGCACACGAAGTACAGGAGGACATGTAGCTCTTGACGAAGTTATGGATGCCCAGTCAGGTATAATCATGACAGACTAGGTCCAGGGTCCGGTTTTGACTGAAGTGTCTGGAGAGCTGGTGGTCGTGTTTGTCTTGCAAAATGTGGAGACGAAGATCATTGGAATCCGGAACGTAAATGTGGTTGTCCAGCCTTAACAAGCCTTCGGCATCAATGGACCAGCCAGAATTGGGGAGGTTGGGGGAAGTGAGATGAGAAGAGATTGTGGTATCGGAGGAGAGGGAGGCTAAAATGTCTTGATGGAGAGCCTCTGTGTTGACGAGTATGGCTGCCTGGATTACTGTGGCAGCTAGGAACATGGCTCGTAAGGATGCAGTGAGCTGCTCCAAAGTGAAGACCAGTCAGAAGTTCTGCAGATTGATGCAAGCATAGTCCATATCCCCTTCTTTGGGATAGACGTCCCAGCATCTAGTCAACGCATCTGGTTTTACTCCGAGTCTTCCGGGATGGAATTGGAGAGTCATGTGGAACTGGGAGAGGAACTCTGACCAGCAGGCTTGCTGCCGGGTCAAGAGTTTGGTGGTAGAGAAATACTTGAGGTTCTTGTGGTCGGTGACGACGATGATTGGGGTTCTGTCAGGGCACACCCCCCTGACCCAGCCCCACCCGGCCCTACTTCACCCGGTACCCCGCCACCCAGCCTTCTCCTACCTCCTCCCTCCTTCCTCTTTCCCTCTTTCTCCATTTCACTTCCTCTTCATG